CACCTGCGATGCTGGCTGGGCCCGACAGGACGCCGCGCGGACGCCATTGTGCGTTTTCCACGGCGCTGGCCACTCGGCAGGCCGTTGGGTACTGCCACGGCCATTGCCGTGCGAACCTGTGCCCGGCCGTGCCCTGCTGTACACTATCGTGCGTTGCGGACTGACCATGCGTGATACCCATCCACGCACGTCGCCTGCGGACACTGCTGACTTGTCGGTGCGCCCTACCCGCTGCGTGCGGGCATGGCGGCTACAGCCGACCCTTATCGGCCGTCCGACCACACTTCTCGGCAAATTAACCGCAACTCAACAAAATTTAACATGATATACCTTAACTTATCATGACATGAGTTATTACATTGACTTTGTGCAACAACACTCTTCCTAACATAAGAACGGCCGTGACACGCACACCATGTGCGGTCCTTGGCTTTAAGCCAAAAACTCGACCGAATTATAAAATTTCTCGTTTAACCTGGACTGAATAGACATTAATTGACATATAATGATCATTGAAACATGAACTGGTCGAGAATTATCGGATAAATTGAAAGTCACTCGGTTATGGCTTATAATGACCTAACAGAGTCTAATCTATTAATTTTCCCATGATTCTCTTAACATGACTTGAACTTGAAGGACTAAAATGACTATATAAACGTGATTAGAAGAGGATGAGGACGTTACCTACTCGAGCTCTGAACCAAATAGCACGAAATTTTGCTAATTTGCTTGATCTCGACGGCACCGTGTAAATGTGCTATGCTCCGCTTAGTGCGTGATTTAAAAACTTAACTTAGCTTATAGTGGCAAAAATGTTTAACCTGAATGAGTAATATATATATTCACTTCCAACTCTTGTAAATAATCGGATGAAAACAAGTAGCATTTGGGTGAATTTTATGGCCAACCACCTTCCGCCATTTGCCACAATTTCAAGATATGAGGTGTACTTAAGGTGGCTTAGTCACCCACTTGACTACTAGATAGAGTGCCACATACATAGGTTGTAATGATGCTATGCACGTGAATAAATAAAGACCAACTCTCACGGCCATAAGCTTGAAATTTGACTTGATTATGTACTAATAAAGTGCACTTGACACTAATCTTAGTACAATTCCTTAACTTGCTTATTAACGCATAACGCGTGATCACTCGGTTATTAACTCAAGCTTACCCATGAACATGCACACTATGTGTCTATTAATTACTACGCCCGCAATTACGTTTGACAAAATTAATTATCGAGCGATTTGACATGAATTAATTATCGGAAATTATTCCGAACATGAACGTGATATTCGAAAGTTTATTCGAACATCCTTAACTGAAATAAATAGTTCCGGTCAATAACGCTTAATAAAATAAATATTCCGGAACCAAACATGACTTTATATTATTAACATGATCGGGATATTACACTCTCTTCGGCCCACTTCTCTTGGGTGAATTCCTCCTCGGCTATCTCCCCCTATGTGGGCTCTTCTCTTTCTTTGGCTCTGGTAGAGCCACCCCCTCCAATTTCGTAAATTCTACCTCCATCTCCTCCAGATTAATATACTTCCGACACCGCTTCAAAACATCCTCATATGATCGAGCAGGGGTCTTTGCCAGGGAAGTTCGGCAAGGCCCTGCTCGAAGACTCCTTATCAATTCTCCTGTCTTTACCTTATCTGACGCTGAGTGTACCTCCAAACACGTCTGATTGTATCGAGCGACATACTTCCTCAACGACTCCTTCTCTCCCTGCCTCAGCGCCATCAGAGTCAAATATGTCTTCTTCTGCGCCACGGTGCTCGAATACTGATTGGTAAGCTTACTGGCAAAATCCTCAAAGTCCGCGATCGACCCAGGGGGAGTTGATGAAACCAGTCAAGTGCTCCTCCGCGCGAGGTCGATAGAAATGCCCTGCAACATACACAATCAGAGTATCCATGTAACACAACCATATTCTCAAAGGTCCACACATGCCTCGATGGGTCAGACGACCCGTCATACACCAGATTTGTCTCCTTGAAATTATTCGGTAAAGGAGCAGCGATAATCTCCCTCGAGAAAGGAAGTCCTCGAGCTCTCCTCTCCGGCCTCCCCTCAACCTTGTCCTGCAACTGGCACAACTGCTCCGCCGTTCTCTCCATCGCACGATCTCTTCCACCTCCTCCTGCATCTCCATAACTGGACACATCCTCGTCCTGGCCTCCTACTGCCGTGGTCGGCGCGGTGGTGGCGTGAGATGTGTGGCTCGTGACTTGCTGCACCGCCTGTGCCGCCGCTATCCTTTGCATTTTCTCTTTGGTCATCGTCGCCATCTGTTGACCAGGAACTTGTGCGAAGGCTTGTTGTGGTGCTCCTCCTTGTGTCACCACTCCATCTTGCACCATCGCTCCTCCTGGATGCGCCACCACGAAATTTTG